TGGTTGCATTTCGATTCAGACTCAGGTCTGCATTCCAACAGCTCATGGTTGCTGGAACCGACTGACACAAGTCTGCATTCCAACAGTTCATGGGTTGTTGAGACCGTCTGAGCCAGGCCTGGTAATGGGTTGCATATCTAGCAGCATTAGGTAGGGCTAAGCCAAAGAAGTGATTCACTATGGACGGAAGAATTTCAACAAATTTTCTGGGTATTGCTTACAACCCTCGATGTTGGTTCCATTCCCTTTTCTGAGGAAGAGTTCCAATCAATCGCTCAACTCAAGGCAATTGTTGTCGAAAATTCTTCAGGCAGTTCTGTCATAGGACGTTATGTTTGTCTCAGCGGGGACACTGGACCCAATTCCCAATACTGGGTGACGCATCGATTAACCAAACGAAATAAGATTATTGCATACATTACTGGAGAAGGCCATAATTTACAAAAACACTCTATTGTTATGGTTTGAGGAGGAAGAGTCAAAGATTTGCCTGGTGCAAAATACCATTGTATTCAAGGAGTGAAAGACTTACAAGGAATTCCCAATCGACATCACATGGTACCGAAAAACGAAAAATTGAACTGTGAACCGAAATATGTCACAAGTCTCGCTCTTCGAGCCTTTGATTTTAGAGAATTGCAAGGTACAACAATTGATACACAAATTTATCAACATTTGTATGATTCATGGGGGAAAAAAAACAATATATTGTGCTATTACTACTATTAGTTACAAAATTTTTTATTGTCTGACTAATGACAACTTGTCTATAAATATAATCGCACATTTTGTTAACGTGATTAAAAATGTCGTACCCATTCTTGAAGTCGAAATCCCCGGAATCAGCCAATTAGTTTCACCCATATATATATATATATACGATATATCTATATACATAGGGTCCCAGCCCGTACGTACGGAGGTCCCCGAGAAGACCTCCGTATGTACGGGCGTTCGGGGTCCCGTACGGGGTCCGAACTTTACGGCGTTCAGCCCCCGCCAAAAATTCTCTCGGGCCCTAAAAATAACTTTGTTTTTCTGAATTCTGTTTTGTGAGTTCTCTATGACATGAGGTACATGCCCATAAATTTTCAAGTCATTTGGCTCAGCCAAATAAGAATTAAAAATCGCCAAAGATGGCGGTCTCAAAACATGCTCGCCCACGGTTTTTTTCACTTTTTACTTTTTGTTTCACTTTAGTTCAGGGTCTAAATAATTTTATTATTTTTTGAAACTTTTTTAGTGGGTTTTGCATTATGTGAAGTAGACATCTTTAAATTTTCAGGGCATTTAGCTATGCCAAAAAAAAAAAAAAATGTCCAAAGATCGCGGTGTCGAAAACGTGCTGGCGCACTCGCTAAATTTAATTCTTTTTTATTTTTAGTTATTTTTATTATTAGTATTTATTTTCATTTCAAATTTGGTAAGGAATTTGGATGTAATGCTCAGGCAAATCTTGCTTAATTTATTTTTCTTCATAACATATCTTTTTTTCAGATTTTTTTTTTTTTTTTGGGTCGCGTTCGGCCCGAACGGCCGAACGCATCCCCAAGGGGTCCCATACGTTCGGGCGTTCGGCCCGTCCCGAACGTCGGTTACCCTGCATATATATATATTTTGTTTCACCCATATATTGTGCTATTAGTTACAAAATTTTTGATTGTCTGACTAATGACAACTTGTCTATAATCACACATTTTGTTAACAACTTAACACGATTAAAAATGTCAAACCTATTCTAGAAGTACGAAAAGTCAGAATCCCCGGAATCACCCAATTAGTTTCAACCATTATACCAAAAGTCATCAAGAAACCTTACCTCTTTGATGGACTTGTTATGTTCAATTTGTAATTCAACTAGTTCACCAACTGAGATTGGATTGACTGGTACAGCTGACACACCTCAAAAAAAAAAAAAAAAAAAAAAAAAAAAAGGGAAGATTGGATTGACTAGAACTGGTAAACTCTTTATTGTAGGTTTCCAAACAGTCTTAGCTAGTAAGTAGGTTTGAGAGGATTTCTGGCATTTATCATTTGGAAATGGAAGGTTGAGACCCAAAACAAAAAAGACATAAAATGGTGCACCACATGCTCCTCAGAAGGGATCAATTTGCCACAAGTAACCGAAAATGTGTTCAATGAACGAGTCTAAAAGCGAAACTCCACACATACGGAGTGTTAGCAAATATATTCCAACAAAAACAGAGACCTTTTGCAGTCACACAGCACTAACACCACCTCGTCTACATGCACTGTCAATTAAGGAAATTAATCACATTACTGGATTATGCATTAAACGTACTTGCATTCTTTGTTTACTGAAATAGAAAAGCACACACAAAGCAGATCTGATACTTTCATTCCCACCAACCAGCCACGCAGAAATGATACTTCCATCCCCACCAACTGGCTGCCTCAAAACTTTCGACTACCAAACAGTTGCGTGCACGGCTATGTACTCAGCAAAAATAAGAAGAAAACGATTATCTTTAAATTTTAATCCAACTAACTGTTTCTCTTCAACGGTTGGAAGTTTTCCAAAGGTGTCAAAAGATGTAAGGATTTTCTCCCATTCATTCGTGTTGGCTCAACTGTGCGAAGCACTTGCCATACACAACTTCCCTGTGTATAACGTCCCGATGGACATAGGTACTTTGGGAGAGAGTTCATTATCATGAATACAATTCTTCAACTCCTTCCATAGGAAAGCGGAAGATGCTAATTCATGAACTTTGCTCCCCCTTTTCCTCACCATTGATAGAGAGAGAGAGTGCTTGTGGATGCTTTGTCAGGTGCCATACATCGGTGATGGCTGAAACACCCTAGATACGTGCAAGAACAGAAATTACAGAATCCAGTACCAGAGACTACATATCTACACCAGTTCTGTGTTTCATAAGCTTGCACAGGTGTCGTACCTAACACAGATCAGTTCCCTTCCGTTCTATGTTGTTGTGCAGTCTCGGGACAGAGAGACGACCAAACCATGGACGAGCATGTGCCTTCTTGTACTTGGGGGGGAACCATACACAACATATTTCGAGGATGTGCCTCCTCGCATGCGGGAAAGTAGAAACGGCATAGAACGGTAACAGGGATCCTGATGTGTCTACAGCAGTTCTATGTATCATGAACTGGCAAAGGTGAGGTAAGACAGATCCGTGGTTGCTCGCTTTCATGCAGCTTGCATTTTCTGATGGGTTTTTAAATGGGTTTTGTGAAGTCACAGGAGTGAGGAGTGAGAAGCAACGCAAGGAGGAAGATGAGAGAGCGAGGGTCAAAGCACACAGAGAATGGTGTGCCAATTTGTACTCTGGAACTAGACATGAACTAGATTTGCAACTGCCGTGCCCTTTGGGAGGGCATACTCTTACATGCACTGGAGATTCTGTATCCAGCTCCTTTCTCATCCATAGAGTAGTTGCTTTTTTTTTCCCATTCTTCTAATGCTTTGCAACTGCCGGGGCTGTAACACACATTGAGAGGGCATACTCTCACATGCACTGGAGATACTGTCCAGCTGCTATCTCGTCCATAGAGTAGTTGCCTTTTTCTTTCTTTCTTTTTCTTTTGATTTGCAACTTGCCCTTTTTTCTTTCTTTCTTTCTTTCTTTCTTTTGATTTTGATTTGCAACTTGCCTTTTCTTTTTCTTTCTTTCTTTTGATTTGCAACTGTCAGGGCTGTAACGGCCGTTGGGCGGACATAGTCTCACACGTACTCGAGATTCTGTATCCAGCTGCTATCACGTCCATAGAAATGTTGCTTTTTTATTTCCATAGTTATTTTGTTTTGCAACTGCCGTGATGACCGGAGTTGCCTGTAACACCAATTGCTTTTCACCTGTGTAGCACGGCGAACGTGTTCCCGCCCAGTCACGTTCGCGCGAACGTGTTCGCACCCCTTCACATTCGCACGAACAACTCGCGAACATGTTCGGGCGAACGTAATTTTGTTTTCGTAAAAAAAGAAAAAAACAAAAAAGATATTTTTTTCGGTTTTTGATTTTCAACTCCGTAGCGTTGTGTTTTGTTTTTTCTTTTTTTCTAATTTTTCTTTCGTTGTTGAATTCCGAGATGTACCAGACGAAAAAAAAACAGTGGGACCCAGGCTCAGCAAATCTCAGCGCGCAGTGAAATTCAGGGTCAGTAAAAACAGGCTCGGATATAGTGGTGGTTTAAGGTCTACAAGGTAAAAAAAAAACCAAAAAAAAAACAAGGCAAGTACATTGATGTCACTTTCAACTTTCGAGTTTCAAATGCGCAAAAACAAAGATGTGCCCGCAAAGAAAACAGCCGGCGAGCGTAATAAAGCAATGAAAGTACTGCAGCCGTGACAGAGCCACGCGTGCCATAACTACAGGGATCGGCCGAGGAGTCAGATGGGCAAAGAAGAAGAAGAAGAAAAAAAGGCCCAACGGAAGAAATAAAAGCCCCGACGAATCCTTTTCTACTGAAATTGCAGTTTCAAACTTGCGCAGTGATATCTTTGCAGGCACGTGTCTTTTTTGCCTCTGCAAACTCGAACCCTGCTGCATGTGCACTTGTTTATTGAAACAAAAACAAATCAACGAACAAGCCGGACATGATGTGACATAAAACCAGATCAACATGCACACGGGTACGGAACCAACAAAAGTGCAGAACTCTCACACCACAGGACAGCTACTCCAAAGAAAGATGTACTGCCGCCGGTTCACAACATCCTGACCCCTCACTTCCCGTGGTGGGTAATAAGAACAACAAGTAGAAACAGCTCACTACAGTTCGAAAGCTCCACAAGGACAGTGGGCTAGCGGACTGCATTATCATTGGCAATCATTCACAAAATCAACAGCTGAAGATGTGTTTCCAAACAAACTGAATTTCATCATCTGCACAAGTAAAAATGCGCATACGAGAGACCAACAACCCTTCCCCCCTCCAAAAAAACAAAAAATAAAAACGTTCAGAAAACTCCTTGGGAATTCCATCACTTGTATCCATACACTTGTTGGGGCTGTCTTGGCATATGGTTAACTACGATCCACAGCACACAACGCATGGCTCAGCACTGGCAACCACGGTTTAACACTGGCAAACCACGGTTCACGGTTTAACACTGGCAAAACAACCACAGTTCAACACTGGCAAACCACGGTTTAACACTGGCAAACCACGGTTTAACACTGGCAAAACCACGGTTTAACACTGGCAAAACCACGGTTTAACACTGGCAAAACCACGGTTTAACACTGGCAAACCCACGGTTTGGCACCGGCAAACCACATGGTTCCCTATGATCCACAGCACACAACGCATGGCTCAGCACTGGCAAACCACAGTTTAACACTAGCAAACCACGGTTTAACATTGGCAAAACCACGGTTTAACACTGGAAAAAACACGGTTTCACACTGGCAAAACCACCGTTTGGCACCAGCAAACCACGGTTTAACACTGGCAAACCCACGGTTTGGCACTGGCAAACCACGTGGTTAACTATGATCCACAGCGCACAACACATGGCTTGACACTGGCAAACCACAGTTTAGCACTCAGGCTGGCAAACCATGAAACCAACAACCTCAGGTATTGCCCTACTCACTGTCAATTCTCTGCATTGGAGCCTGATCAGCAACACAGCTCTATCGCCCGTTTTTTTAATATGATGATGAAGTCACTTCCATCCTTCGGCACATAAGTGGGACAAGCACACAATGACCAGACAAACACAAGGCTTGGACTTGACTGCAAGACCCGTTCGAAAAGGAGATAGAAAAAGATACAACTGGAGGGAACAGGCTGTCGAGCATGAAAAGAGTCGCTGCCAATTTCTCCAGACTAATCGTCTAAATCTTCGTGGCGAACAGTGTAAATCTGAAATTACGCCTGCAACATCGGCAAGGCAGCCCCTCTCATACTACAACACACCACCCACATGGGATCCCTCCACTTGCTCCCCCTCGTCCTCACAGCCTCTCTCTCCACACGCTCCCCCTCCTCCCACCCTAAAGAATGCCACTGCAACTGTAGGCCAGCCCGTGGTTCAGTTCCCCCCCCCCCCCTCCTCAGAAATTTGACACAAGTATCTTGACAGCAAAAAGCTGCAAAAACTACGAAGAGAAAAGAAGCAAAACATATGTACAAAATCCGACCAAACTCTTTAGCTTTTTAAGCGGCTCATTACTGCGATGAGTCTCCTGGTCCAATGGCAAAACTATTTTCCCCATGCGAGTGCACATGCACCTATGTTACGAAAAAACTGGTCATCCGTCCTTCATCTGTTAAGAAAAAAATATACAAAGAAAGAGAGGCATTTGCTACATAACTACCCCTTAAGAGACCTCGTTTCAACGCCACAACAACGGCAGTCTACTTACCGATCTTATCTGGCAACCACCACCAAAGAATGCTCAGTGGATATCACGACGACACACACCTTCGCCAACGATTGAATCGTCAGCACAACGACAATTTCACCACGCCTTGCTGCAATGATACAACACAGCCGCTGTGTCGACCAACTCCATCGACAGGCTCCCCTCTCCTCACGCCGTGGACAAGAGAGAGATGACGCGCAGACTCCTGAGTGCCCATACGATTCTGGAATGCTACTGTGGCAACCAACTCTCTCCACACGCTCCGTCGCTCGCTCCCCAATCTTCGCGCTGTGGACTAAAGATGATGCGCTGACTCCTGCTATCAGAGGGCAAGGGACAACTAAGGTTGTCCTGAGTACGAACCTTGGGTCAGAACTCAAAGCAGGAGGAGCCCGATGAATACCCTATCCGATTGTGTATCATTGTTGCACAAACTGTCGACCAAAATCCAGAGAGTGGATTTTATGACATGAGCCTAAGTTCAAGAAGCTACCTTGCAAGGCTCGCGAGCCTCTAACTGTTCTTTTTCAAAATCACATTCCGCGTTCACTACTGGCCGAGGGCCCGATCACAAATCCTGGGTCAGATGTCAAAGCAGGAGCCCGATGGAAAACCCAACTGATTGCATCATTTGCACACTTTCTTCCCATATAACCCCCCCTTCCACCCTCCCCCTCCTGCCCCTCCCCCCTCCCGCAGCCATATCCAATCACAATAGAAGAAATTTGCTAGAAATTGCGAAAAAGAATATTGGGCCAGCAAGTCTTACCTATAACCATGCTCGAGCGGTTTTTTAGTGAACGACCCTCACTTCAATACCGATGCATAGAGATGTCAACACCATCGGCACCAGCAGGTCTCACTATCCCCCACAGATGACAGACTACTCATCTCCTTTTCCGTTCGTACATTGCCATTGTGGCTATCTGATCGAAGAGCAAGCACCAAATGTTCAGTTCAAAAACCCAGTGTGTTTGAACCTCGGAAAACCTCAGCTACTTGGTGCATGCAAGCCCATGGCCCCGACACGAATTCCAGTTGTTTCCTGATGCCGACCGGCATCCAGAGAGTGAAATTTGACTACAACTCCCGGGAGCACCGTACACGCCCAACATGTTGGATGCTGTTCTGTACCAGAGGTCATCCCTGAGCTGTGGCTGTGGTTTTATTGAGAACATCAGAACCTGAAAACAAAGATTACAAGCTTAAACCGCCAGTCTAACCGCACCTAAGTTGACTAAGCTTACCTTCAAAGGCCCCCGGGCCTGCAACTGCGCCTTTTCTTGGCCGGCTGTGTTCGCTACCGGCCCGTAAGCCAGGAAGACGCATACTCTGCTTTGGGTGAACTGGCGGTTTAAGCACACTTCCAGGCAAGGATTCAGCATCTCCAAACCCCTAACATGAATCGGAGATTTGCCTTCTCGCTCCAGCTGCAGGAATCTGCAAGTGGACAGCTAGCTGGTCAGCGGCTTCTTCGGGACACGGTCCCTAGTACGGTGTGAAAGGACCAACTTCCACGGTTCCTAATATCACCAACTGCTTCCTTCACGAAAAGGAAGAGCGACTGCCAAAAGAATAAAAGGCGTTCCATCCTGCGGCAAACTGAGGTGCACCGCGAAAGGACAACTGTGGCTGCTCCAGCTGTAGACTCCTTCCTTCACACAAAGGAAGAATGGCTCCCAGAATGGGAACCACACCCCATCCTGCTGCAAAGCGGGGAACTGCCTGGCATAAGTCGACACTTTCTCACAGTCAATCAATCACGCAACCAGGAGGATTTCAGCTGCTGCATCGACATCCAGCGGCATTGATGCGCTCCCCACTTCATGACTTCAGCATTTAGGACCTTTCAAGTTCGCAATGTCGCCAGGAAATGACTGTGGAAAGCTTGTACCAAACTACATCAGCACCAACAAGATGATCACACCGCCACGTGCAACAAAATTGACGTTAACCAAAAGCTGAAGTCAACATCACCCACAACTGCACCCCTCCCGCAGATGTCACCGTAATATCGTCCACCAGTGTCCACATGTCATGCGCTGCAGAGCAGGCGCACACACAACTGCCACGGACCGAATCAGCTGCTGCAGAGGAGGCCAACACACAACTGCCACCGGACCCAATCGGCTGCTGCAGAGCAGGAGGGCACACAACTGCCACGGACCCCATCAGCTGTGATGCAAGGCAGATCGCTACTCCACACCACACTTTCCAATGTAGTTGCAAGCATGATTTATGATCTCATCAAATTATTCCTTGCCCATCAGACCTCGGTCTTGCGACATGACACGCATGAAATTGCAGCCATGCTGTAAAGTCGTGTACACAGAGCGATCGAAGTTCATCAAGCAAACCACTCCGCAGCAGGCCAACACGCATCCACCGCCGTTCCTAAACACATAGATCTGAAACAATTATACCATTTGATTATTGCAGTTACCCCCGCAACTGCCGGACAATATGCGCCTCTCAGAGAGCCGTCACCATGACTGTCGAAACTTGAAACCAGTTCACAGCAGCACCAACTTCTCATCTCGCATCTCAGCTCCAAAGGCTTACACTCCAACATCAATGCCAACCGAAGCTTTCGAGCGGAAGGCAGTGAAACTAGGTGAGCATTCTTGCTAAAAGAAACCGCTTGCCAGCAAATGAAGCACGGGACATACCCATGGGGCCGAAAGGCACTGGCCGAGGGGCAGGATCACGTACACTTGTTCAATAGCCATGGAAGATGATAGACTCCGTTTCTTCAAGCTTGAAAGCACGCGGGCTATACCGGGAAGTGTGCGCAAAGCCCCACAGCTGATTCCAACCAGCATCAAGTAACATGACAAAAAACAAATGCAACAAAGACGGAACAAGTGAAAGCCCATTTATTAGAACGAACCTGCTAGCAGCACAGGATGAAGCACAAACAATTAAATGCATATTGTACCATTCAGTCACCAGGCAAGTACGCATATCCCACTTTGCAGCAAACTCCAAAGTTGAAAGCTGCAATCTGCCGAGAGGCCTCTGCTTTTTTCCCCATTGCGCCTTTGGCTCCACTCTGGTGAGGCTCTTGCTAGCTGTGTACGCCTGCGTGACTGCAGGTCACATGGAATGATAAGATAGAACCATGACTTGCAAAGCTAAGGCACGTGGAAGACAATGCCATGCATCCATGATTTACAAAGCCAAGGCACGTGGAAGACGATGCCATGCATCAGCTGCAAACTTCTTTTTCTCTTCTAACATCATAATAGAATCGTTGCTGGACTCGAGCCAGTTGTATTCCACACCAGTCCCACTATTCCTGAGGTTTTCCCCTGAACAGGAAGAAGGGTCACAGGAAGAAGGGCCATCATCTCTGTAATCTGCGGCTTACAAAAAGCAATCATCCAAGAACACATCCACAAAACAAATGAAGAAATATGTGGCAAAATCACAGACCCAAAGGATGCACAGGACGAGGGGGGGGAGGGAAGAACCCAGACTCCATCTGTGGCTAGTTTTGTTCCAAAGCCAGATGCCAACGTTTTGTGCGTATTATGAAAAAATCCACTACATTTTCGGAGAAAAGAGCAGTCGTGAAGTTGTCGCAATCCCGTTTCCCCACCAGCATGCTCTGACACCTTAATTCCTTTTTTCTTTTTTTTTCATCAAAACGATTACATGCCTCTACTGTCTAAACTATCAAACCACTTAAAATCTCTTCTTCCTTAAAACGATAGCAAAACCATTCAACTCAAAAACATAATGGGAGACGATTCACCTACCTCAACCGTTCGGATCTGAAACTCTTCAGAAGAGGCCAGGCATGGACTTCCATAGGTATCGCAGACCTCGCTTGTTCCTTCCAATCTGAAACACACGCCACAGAGCCCTGCCAATGTCAGTCATGTCCCTGTTGCCTCTGCGCTTCCATTTTCACCCTCCACCTTACCACGTGAACAACCGTAGTTACTGCACTCTCTATTTATCTCTATTCACCTGCTCCTATCTCTGAAGCCAAACCATTCTCTGGAGATACGGTCCACAATCTTAAAGACTTAAACCCTAGCCATACTTTATGGAGGCTATGGTCCACAGAACACAAACGTGCATTGCCAAACTCTGGCACAGGAAAGGCTTCATCATAACCAGTTTACAAACATGCAGGCCAAATTCCAAGCGCCTGGTACCACCACTGTTACGTATTCCTCAGTGTGGTCGTACACCGACAAACCTCTCTCGTTTTGGCGCTTCAAGAGCAATGAAAGACGTCAGCTGCGCAGTCCTATCGGTGAATTTCTGACTGGTTAAAGCAATGGTGCCAACCAACCACAAAAAACAAAAACTGAAATTCCTATAACAGAAAGAAAGGAGCCAGGGATGAGTAGGTAGCATGGAAATGAGAGAGAGAGAGAGAGGGTTGGGAACTATTTTCAGGGAGGCTGTGGCCCAGGTTCAAACTGGAAACTATTCTGGTTAGAATTGTCGGACGTTGACTTGGAGGGAGACCATGCAGTCATCGTTGTGAAACCATCACTCTCTTGTAAAAACTTTAAAAAAATTCAAAAAAGTTCAAAAAAGTAATCCGGAAATGAATTTGAACCAAGGCTTCTCAACAACGTCCAGGTGTTTCTACCTCTCCAGTAGTAGAAAAATCCCGCCGCTACTGGTATGGCCAGAACATTTCGGGTCGGTGCTCCAAGCTCAGAAAAAATGCATCGGTTGCATTGGCTCTTCAGGGGAGCAGCGGTCGTCTTAAGGCATAACAAAATTGCATACCTTACTGCCGAAATGACATTCAGTTTAAAAAAAAAAAAAGCAAGTCTCTTGACATTGTTAGAAAAGCGTCTTTCATGTTTGCGAGATTGCATTACTCCTCATTAGAAACGAGTCTGTGAGAACTTCACTAGCGAATGACTGACAAGTTTCTTTACCTTTCTGGTCCCCCTACCTCCTGGTGGGGTATACAAAAGCAATTCACAGTCATCACCTCTAAAAAGGACAAAAAGTGTTAAAGAACGGAAGGCGGGGGGGGAGGACAGAGAGTAATATGCGCACTACAAAAAAGAGACAGACAGAGAGAGTCAAAATAATATATGCAACCCCAGAGCCTAGCTCATTGGGTACACCCATGAACTGTTGAAATACAGACCCAAGTTCGAATCCAGATGATGGAACTTGACAAGTAAAACCAACTACTACTAATGAATTGCCTGGGGCCGGTCAGCTCAATGATTATATCTCAAGGTCATCGCCCTTTTCAAAAAAAAAATATATATACTACTAGGTTCCAAACAAAGCTGACGTCGATGATTCCAGTCGAGCTCAGCAAAACATAAAGAGCTGACAGGGGAGGAGGCAGGGCACAGAACACATGGAAGTGCGGCAGAAAGCCTAACCCATGTCTACCTCACATTCCGCATCTGTAATGCCTTTTCCCAATCGGGCCTCGGTTAACACATTGCTTTGCATGCCAAGGAGAGGATCTTTGAGCCTATCATTTCACATCATGACAGCAGCTAAGAATCTTCAGACCATCCCACAACCCAATGTATAACATCCCCCTTGTGCTAGCTTATGCACTCCTCCTCCCTGATGACTCTTTTCCACTATCGGTTCATTGGAGCGGCACCACAAGCTCAAACACAGCATGACCTCATGAATTAGCACACGCAGCAAAGAACGTCCAAGAAGTGATTAAGTATGAGCAAAGCCCCTGCAATAAAAGGCAGCGTTTAATAGACTCGTTCTTATCCTCTCTCTCGAAGAAGGCTGTAGACCTTTCGGGAAAGGACACAAGGAGCACTCCACACAATAAAGGTGTGGGCACTCACGCTTTTATGGTTCCCACCGCTTGCATGCAAATGGTTATTCACAAGCTTTTATTATTAGTCCTCATTGGTTGCATGCAAATAACAATGATGGACAGGGTTGTGAGTGCAACCTACAGGTCAGGATCCAGCCGCAGCGCAAAGTGGCCTCCTCCTCCAAAGGCGAATCCATTCAGCATACACAGATAGAAGTACCGGTTTGCCGCTGCAAGAATGACAAACAAAAAGGAGAATACAAAGGCGAATCCATTCAGCACACACAGATAGAAGTACCGGTTTGCCGCTGCAAAAATGACAAAACAAAAAGGCGAATACAATCAACGAAACCCGTTCCTTTTCTTGTTTTTTTCAGTCTTCACCGACTGGCCGCCGAGCTCAGATGGTACACGTGAGCTGTAGAAGTACAGACCCGAGGTCGAATCTGGATGGGACAAGATGAATGAAATGAAGTAAATTCTGAATTACCTGGGACTTGTCCGTTTGACGATGGTATCTCACGACCATCGCCCGTCTAAAATAAAATAGAATTAAAAAGGGAAAAAAAAAGTTAGTCCAGTTTCTATATTTTGTTCTGGGATAGCATGTTGAGATTTTAAAGCATGACTGTCTCAGCTGGCAAAGCCCGCAGCGTGCCACAGGAGGCCGCAGGGATTCGAATGGACGACGCAGGGAATGGAGCCCACGACCTCCTGAATGCCGCGTTCATGCTCTACAAACCGAGCTGCGCCTGCTGGGTGGGCGTTCTATTCGGGTGAGGAAGGTAGTTAACCTTCCACTATGCTCTTTCCAGTACAAAGCTACACTGAGGTAACAACATGATTAGGACTACCCTCACAATCACTGAGCAGAGAGAGAAGCCTTCCAACCGCACATGTGACTGAGACTGCGAACAGGTGACGGAGCACGCACATGCTTCAGGTGACTGAAACTGCGAACAGGTGACGGAGCATGCACATGTGACTGAAACTGCGAACAGGTGACTGAGCCTACTGATCGGAATATTTGCGGTTGCTCTAGAAGACTCTGCTGCATAGCCTACTACAGTTGATAAACCACGGGACGGACCAAGGGCACAAAATTACAAACGCCACGTGACTGACAGCAGGAAGCAGGAGCAGACGGTCAGTTTGACGACCTCATCAGAGAAAAGACGAGACATTTCAACAAAAAGAAAAGAAAAGGAAGAGGTCAGACAAGACGAACCGACAGGCATTACATCATCATCATACAGAGTCAACACGTGCAAGAGTTCCCTTTCAGGCTTCCTATCAGGACGAAATCCGCACGAGCCACTCCAGCCCTTGAAGTTTGAACTAAGCGCTGTTTCCATGCCCCTCCCTCTACCCCCCCACTCCCCCCCCTCTGCCCCCCCACTCCCCCTCCTCTGCCCCCCCCTTTCTAACCAGAGTTCCAAACAGGATAACCGCAAATTTGTGATCCAAAAGCGGATCATCCCGTGGCAATATTCACACCGAAACCATTTCACACTTCACAGAACTGTGCCCGACGGTCCGATCACACCCTGTGCGTTCAACTTCAGCCTGCGCATAGACTCTGCACGTCAAGACAGTCCATAGTGTCATCCCAAAACTCACCTGTTTGGCGATACAGCGTCAGCTCTCCGTCAACTTCTTTGAAGACAAAGCTCTCTGCACCACCCTGTTCCATCCACGAAAGAGAGAAAGGTAACAGGTCACCAAGGGACTCAGAGCTTGAAAAAGATCAAGAGGGTCGTATACGATTGGCAAACCAACTTATTTCATTTCTGAAGCCTGCCCTCATCACAGAGTGCAAATCACAAAATCGCAAACAACTGCTCAGACCCCTCACACCATCATCATGTCCTTTCGACACCAGCATTTCCAATACGTCAAAACCAGTCCTCACCGTCAGAAGCCCATTTGCAAGCAATCCCCAAGTAGAGGAGTAACACAGTAATGTGGATATATTCTATAATAAAAAAATAAATCACAACCATTTTCAATATCTGTTCAGCTGAATGAGATTTCAAAATTCAAACCAAACGTTTCTTGTGCACTCGTCTGCTCCTCCAAGCTCCCACACTCACATAGGGTTCTCCCTAAACGAACACCCTGTTCTAATCTTCTTATTTCTCCTAGGCAATAGGAAAAGAGGAATTCACGACAAGAACACCATGAAGAGGTGTTCCCTTCAAGAAGGGACTCTCTCTCCAGCCATGCAGACTGGGAACTAAACACTCTGAATGATACATTACTTTATCCAAAAGCGGTTAGGATGTGTGAACTACAAGTATTTCCAAAGTCACAAAGAGAGGGATGAGGAAAGGGAGAGGCAGCTGAATCGGGATAACACGAGCAAAAAGGAGCTCTGCAAGCATGGATCGCTTCTATTAGATGCAGACACCTCCCAATGCATATAATTAGCACATGCAAATACTTCGACCTGGAAGATGAAGCCACCAGTACCATAAGGAACATAACAAGGCGAAGACTCATTCTACAGCATATGCCGGCTTCGGCCACCATCAGCCTCCACCCTACATGACCGCGTCACCAAAGACGACAGCAGCAGGGCATTGGGAGACGCAGAGCATCGGGAGACGCAGAGCATCGGGAGATACACAGCATCGAGACCAGCAAAGCATTGGGCTCAGAGAGTTCCTGGGGTTTAGGGTTTAATCAGGAACCTTAAACCGCAAGTACACTGCCCAGGCAAACTTGAGAATCGAAAATGAGTCATCCTGAAACATAGAGATGAAATGTTCTACCAGACCAAAATGGCTCGCAGTGTCAGCCAGAAGAAAAAAGGGGAAAAAAGTCCGCCTCAGAAAAAAGAGGCTCGGATGTACTTGTGGTTTAAGGTGGCCTGAGATGGAACACAGGGCTTTGGGTTGCGTCTGTCTCTTTCAAAAGATTGCCTCTCTTTCAGGCATCACTTTGCAGCCTTTAGTTGGAGGTTCCTTGAATATTTATGAAATGTACTTGTGGTTTAAGGTGGGCTGAGATGGCACACGGCTTCGGGTTGTGTCTGTCTCTTTCAAAAGAATGCCTCTCTTCCAAAGTGTTCAGTCATCACTTTGCAGCCTTCAGTTGGAGGAGAGGTTCCTGAATTGCTTATGTGATGTACTTGTGGTTTAAGGTGGGCGGCTGAGATGAAAGACAGGGCTTTGGGTTGTGTCTGTCTCTTTTAAGGGAATGCATCTCTTCCAACCTGTCCAGGCACCACTCTGCAGCCTTCAGTTATTTTTTTGAATTGTTTACGTGTCCTTAGTACCTGTCTACTGTTCACAAGCTTAGCATGAATATTCCAGTTGTTGTCAGCCAAAGCCGGGTAAGCGCCCCGGTATCCTGATGGATCTGTGAAAATTTTATAAGGGATGCTGGACGCTCCCGAGTCCCCACAAATAGGATGGAGCCATGTTCTTTTAAAGAACGGAAAAAAAAAAAAAAGCCAGTACCATGCCCAGCTCCCATGTGCAGGCCAGCCACTTCACCAAGCCCACTGAAAGGTTCGGCATACCGACCAAAATGTCTGGCAGCGTGCACAAGGCCTTTGCTTGCGACGGTTCAGCAAATGAGGCGCAGTCAAAATCGCACATCAGGAAGGTGCTGCTTTGATTTGACAAGAAATATGCAAAAAGAGGCTCAGAGGTGCAGGGGGCTTAAAGCACCAGTACATGCCAGCTATCGGCCGCAGGCCCCTTTCGGAGGGCGCCCACCGCGGATTCATTTTATCTACGGCGCTCGGCCTCCTAAATTTTTGGAGAGGCTCAAAACAGCTTCTCCAGCTGCCTGGGGCCATGTACTGATGGTTTAACTTCATCAAACCACTCATACTTTCTATAACTACAGTGGAGGCAGGAATAGCAGTGGCACAGACAACGGAGCCAGGCACATCCGCTAAGTTCCCTCCCCATCATCGCTGGAGAACCTGTTTTCTGCGAGAAACTAGGAAAGCAAGATGGTAAGAAGGATAGCATTCAAACCTGATACTTCTTTCTGCTGGAGGGCTTGAGGGGCGCCGATGCGAATCCTCCAAAAACTGCACCTTTCGTGTCCCGCACGACCTGAGAACGAGAAACAAACACACCCATAGCGACGTACACACCCGTTCGCAACACAGTGTCAATATTCATCAAGTCAATTGCACTCCTTTTCTCCTTTTTTCCTTAACATCCACTAAAGAGTCCCATCTCCATTCCATTCTAGGGAGCTTTAGCCTGGTTCCTATTCCACCAGCAAGTCTTCATTAGAACCCAGCTAAACTTCTCTGCATTTTCCTCTCAAACGTTTTTCACATGCATGCCTTACCAGCCATCCGGAGGATACAACTTCAAACCACCGGTGCATCCGAGCCCGGAGGAGCTGCACTAAGCGCCGCGCTTTTCCGAGCCACACTGACGGTACATCTTTTTTTCTTTTTTGTCCGGTGCCGCCAGCCATTGTGGTCCGGTAGCCCCGAGCCGCAAAGTTCTTGGAGTAGGCGAAGAACGAATTTCTACAAGGCCAGGGCCCTGTACTGGCAGTTTAAGGGAGCAAGGATTGTCACAAAGCCAACGCACACAAAACAACCCATGCAACCCACTGGCGGTACACTTTCTCTTCTCATCTGTCCGGTGCCAGCCAGCCATTGTGGTCCGGTAGCCCCGAGCCGCAAAATTTTCGGAGAAGCCGATGAACGAATTTCTACAAGGCCGGGGCCCTGTACTGGCGGTTTAAAGCACCAGTACACCACACATCGGCCCACGGGTGTCAGCACGAAACCCGCACCACTTTGGAGGCAACCTTTTTTTTTTTTCAACGGCGCCCCACACCGCGCGGCTCCTCTGAGTTTTGCTTGAGGCGACAAAAACTTTCTGCAGGGCTGGGGTCCTGTACTCACGGTTTAAGGGAGCAAGGATTGTCTGAAAGCCAACGCAGGCAAACCAACCCATCGGACGAAGCAAATAAATGAGAGTTGGTCTTGAGAGGAAGAAAAATGAAGCAACAAACATGGCAAGGTAACGACTACCTACCAACAATGTGGGACCCGGTATCAATGCACTGCGCCGGTACAAAGTGTGGAGGGAAATCCCATGACGCTCGGTGCTGTTCACGCAAAAATCACAAAACGCCCACAGTGCATTACAGTAAGCGCTACCAGCAATCACTCACAAACCGCGGCTTTCGAGGAGCCACAGTGGAAGTCCAGATCCCTGATCGAAAAGACTTTGAACTCGTTACAGCGAAGGTCGAGAGTCAAAATCCCTTCTTCCCAGAGGGCTTCATAATAAGCTGATTACGGCAAAAACCTTTCCCATTGGTGGTACCCTTCATTTAAGATAGGTCAATTAGTATCCCCGAGTCTTCAGACCCTTTCCAGAGGGCTTCATAATAAGCTGATTGCAGCGAAATTAGTCCAAATACGACCACCAAATAGCAATAAGTTTTAGCCTCCTATCACTCAGGAACGAAACCTCCATCCATTCAAAGGGAAGAGGGGGGGGCGGGGCGGGGGGGGAAGAGGATTTATCTATCTTGCTACTTATTTGATGGAAGCAGCCCTTAGAAAGCATCTAACTGTTTGGGATTATTGGTGGAAAGTGTCCACGCAGAAACCTTTTCGGTTTCGTGCGCGCAGACTTTTCCCGCTTGGCAAGAAGGGCCCACGAGACAGCCCGCTTGGCAAGAAGGGCCCACAAGACACACAGGCTATCGGATGTTAAAATCTGAAGGCCGAGATTGGGTCCGGACGGCTTGGCCCCTTCCTACAGGATCATGAACCTGGCGCTGTATCTGCACCAGATTCATTTCCGGGTAGGCCGTTCTTGCCAAATGGGAAAAGTTCGGGCGCATGAAACCAAAAAGGTTTCTGCGTGGGCACTTTCCACCAACTATCCCAACTGTTTTCAAAAAGGATGTGGTTAGGGTTTTGGGGGATAGGGAATGACGGGAAAGAGGGAGAAGTCGGTGATTAGCGCAACATCAGTGCGTGATTAAGGCTGTTAAATGGCAATACAACTCGGCCTATCAGGAACGGAAGCTTCCATCCATGTGCTACGCACTTAACAGAAACTTCTATAAACGCATTACGTGCGTTCTCAAAAGAAAGGCCTAAAGTTCATGACACAAAGACCCAAGAGCTGGACAGCTGCGTTTTCAGGCCCCTCCATTTGAGACACGCCTTCTCTAGCAAGCATTAAGTCCAATCTCAAAAGAAATCCCTCGACTTCATGACACAAGGACTGAAGGAAGCATTACTGGAAGGCAGCAAGCAGGGGAAAGGGTGGAAAAGCCCCGCATTGTTGTCCATTAACCTGTGCACCAGTTTAGCAAAACGAGAAAGAAAAATGCGTACTACCGTCGTACTGTGCATCATTAGAAGGTTCTTTTTTTCTTCTTCTTCTCCCCCCCCCCTAGCTTGACAACGGAACCGATGGCTTGCCTTCATGTAAACAGAGTCGATGACATTAACTACCAGATTCAAGGGACTGTTCCGCGAGATGTACTGCAATAATGCCCATGCATTCTACAGGAGAGCACAGACCACACAGGCTCTGTTTACATGATAGCAAGCCATCGGTGATCCCACTCGTGGCCTGGACAGAGTTTAGGTAGCTGCAAGAGTTGTACAGCGAGAGGGGAGAGAAAAAGAGAGACGCGACACCAAGCGTAAGAACAGTAATAAAAATACTAATAATCAAACCCTGAGTGGATCCGGGCCGCCCGGCTGGTAGCATAGAATCAACATAAAAAATAATTTAATATCGACCATCGGCAACTGGACGTTCATTATCATCACCAAGCCTCATCAGCAACAACTGCAATTGCCTGACCTCCCAATCACCGTCGGTTCATCAACAGCCAAGATTGAATCTATACATGTATATTGACCAGAAGATCCATCCATGCCCCTGCGAGCTGTGACCCATGGCAGTCATCATCCTCCCAAAAGTCCACCTGTCCACCTTCCCCTCCATCAACCTACCTATCCACCTTATCAAATCATCAGAGACCGAATCTAACAGACAAATTGATGAACCAGACAGTCGACCAGACGGTGAATGAATAGATAACTAAATGCCGTCCAAGTTCAAATCCCTATCGGATCAATCAAAACGATCATCCAATCAAAATCTGTTACCGATGCCAACGATCGACATCGAACCCCAAGTCTGTGTCACCAAAGAATGCTCGCCAAGGTCCCCTCCCAGCTGACAAGTTGCACATTCAGTACTTTCTATTTCCATAAACCCATGGGTGCTTCTTTTTTTTTTCCCAAAAACCATGGGTACTTTCGCTTTCCATAAGACCATCACCGAGGGATGCTTCAAGCCCACCAAGGATGTTCACCAAGCTCCTCCTGACCAAAAGAGCATATACTCAAACAGTGCGACTTTTTCCACATGGCTCTGGACGTAACTGTAGTCGGATGCACCCCGCCGGGCGACATCCACAAAAGTCCTGAGAGGCCACGGTAAATCGCCACATTTTATAATCACCACGAACGGTTTAAGGCACGACTCACTTCGACGCTGTGATGGCAATCACGCCTTCACAAAGCCATGACCTGTTTCCTCATGGCCGATGAATGGAGAACACTACTCGTCATGAATGGGCACCACGCTGTGGGCACGCTTATCGGATTTTGTTTGTTAACAAAAGCAGCGACCCTGCGAAGGGAACACGACCCAAGATTAAAAAAAAAAAAAAAAAAGATGAAGAAGAAGAAGAAGAAGACGAAGATACAAGATAAGTGTCGGTTTTCTGGGAGTGGACGTAATTAAATTCCAACATCGCCGAACAATATTTCTTACTGATCGCTCACAAATAACGGTCACATTCGAGTGATCCATCACAAATAAACCGTCATATTCACCGCCCCACTCAGCTTGCACGGATAGATGACAGAGTTACACTCTGCTGCCAAAACAGAGTCGAGTGCTGCCCTAGAGGACATCATCATCAACTCCCAACTTCCTGAGGGAATTGCCATCTTCACCCGAATAGAACCCCCAAAATAGCCGTACTGGGGCCAACTTTCAGTCCAGATGCAGCGATAACGACCGGGCGTTCTATTCGGGGGAAGACCATAGGAGGATACATGTATGAACTAGAGCGACACCGAGAGGTACAGTATTGATAAAGAAAAGCACAACATGATCCATAGTCCCGCTTGGAGCTCATCTTGTTGCCTCTTGCCTCCCCTTTCTAACCAGACTCCAATCACAGACGCACAGACAGAGAGAGAGAGAGAGAGAGAGAGAGAGAGAGAGAGAGAGAGAGGAGTGGGCAGGCATTAGAAGGATCCACGTATTAACCAGAGCGACAACGAGAGGTGCAACATATATCAAAGCCGAACATGATCCAGAGTCCCACTTCGAGCTCATCTTATTCCCTCTTGCCTCCCTTTTGTAACCAGAGTTCAATCACAGACAGACACAGAGAGAGAGAGAGACAGAGAGAGAGAGAGAGAGAGAAGCGTGCGCGGGCATTAGAGGTGCAACATGGACGAAGCAAAGCACAGCATGAACGATCCATACTCCCACTTCGACCTCATCTTGTCGCCTCGTGCGTCCCCTTTCCAACCACACAGTTCAATCACATCATTCCTTGACAGGTTTGTATAACAGAAATCCTTTCTAACAGCCACGCAAGGGCATGATGCAGCTGCGCAATTTAGGGCAACTATAACAGCCGCACAAGATACCTTTCTCGGCCTTTAGGTAAGATCAAGTGCAGTTTCGTGTTCTGATCCGTTTGCTATCTGATCCGTGGTCCATCCGAAAAAAAAAAAAAAAAAAAAAAACAAACAGAAAAACATGCGCACAAGAAAGCCCGCCATGCACTCAAGTATAGAGGAACGCAGACAGACATTTCGATCTTAGCTACGCTTCTGCCATACATGTTCCCGCCCGACCACCCTCTTCTCAATCACTGCCGTTTCCAAGGGATGGGTATTTGCTTCGTACCTGTACAGCAGAACCCAGCTCCTTCCCCTGCATAGTGCGGGAAGCGATTTGCACAGCACAGCCCGATGATTATCCTTCAAGATGGACGACGGGTCCGACATCGGAGGTGGAGCAATTACCGCCGCTGCAGGACAAGCGGACGAGTGCTGGACGCGGGGGGAGAACTGACTCCGCAACATCGCAGGTTCCGGAGTCGTTCTACACCCCCCAACGGTGGACATACTGTTACCCGTCTTGGCGGGCTGGTTAGCCGCCGCGTGCGCAAGGTGGTCCCCCTGGCTATCGCCAGCAGCGCGAGAAGAAGAGAGGTCGTCCACGTCAGCAGGGCAGACCAACTGCCAATCGACTACGTCGGCGTCGTCGTAACAGCCGTGTGAATCCTCCGACTCCTTGAGAACTCCACCACCTCCACCTCCTCCTCCTCCTCCTCCGCTTCTCTGTGCCTCACGCCGCCCCCTTTGCCGTCTCCGGCTTCTTCCCCTTCTGACTGCTTCCGATGCGTTGCTATCGTCGCCGCCGCGAGAATCTCCCGAGTAGTCAAGGTCCTCTCTCTCGCTTTCTCCTCCTCCTTCTCCCCTTCCCTCGCCGTCCTGTACCCTCGCTCTTCTTCCCCCCAGCCTGTCGTTACCGCCACGTCTTTCGACCCTATCGTCGCTGTCGGCCACATCTGAAGTCTCACTACAGCCTCGTCGGACTCTCTCTCTGTCATCCGCACCGGCTCCGGTCGCTTCCCTGTCGGACTTGCTACCGGCCCCAGAGAATCCCCCTGAGGTGGTAGTGCCGTTCCTTTCCCCCTCTCCTCCGCTACACAGCGTCGACGTCTCTTCGCCTCCACCTTTGCGATCCCCCTTCCCCCCCCCTTCCCTATCCCCGCCCTTTCCTGTTCCCGTCTCCCCTCCTCCTCTTCCTCGTCCTTCTCCGTCCTTTGTCCTCTTCGCCCGCTTTTTTCGCGCCCTTTTGTGCGACGACGAGACGCTCAATAGAGACAGCAAAAACGCCGTCAACGAAGACGTATCCGGCCCGTCAAACTCTTCATCCCCCTGCTCGCCCTCTCCGTCACACTCAGCATCACCTTCTTCTCCTCCTCCTCCGGTCTCCTCCGCTGATTCGTACTCGTTGGAATTATTCGAGCTATCACTTCGACCTCCTGTCCGATCTTGATCTTTACCCTCCTCCTGCACCAACAGACGAGCCAACAGATTATCACATTGGCGAGAAAAAAACACGTTATAAAACCAAAACCACGATTCTGACTCAAGCCACCCACCGCTCCCTCGTCCCGAGGAACTCCCACCCAGTCGCCGTCCACCCCTTCCCCCCGGCCCAAATACCCCTCCCTCCCTCCGGGACCATAACAAAACCCCATACCCAGCAACAAGCACACACACGCATTCATTAAAGAAAAAGCACGAACGAACACGACAGAAGCAATGCACATGTCACTCCATGCCACCATTGAGAGCAGAGAAAAGAAAAGAACAAAAAGCAGAGAGACGTTGCGACGTCTGCGTCTGCGCACCCTGAAAAGGACAACTCAAGCGTGGCGCGTGGCTCCCTGCCATCCATCCATTCGCGCTGCGGCAATAGAAAGACGAGTATACGTGCCATTGAGAGAGTGTGTGAGGAATGGGAGGGTCGTCGCCGAGGGGAGGATTTGAGGAGTGGGGGGAATCGCTTGAATCGCTTGCTGACAGTAAATGGAGACCTACAGCACAGCAGCTGGCGCTCGCCAGACGACCAAATGGTAATCAAACCCAAACAATGTAAGGGCATACTCACATTAGGACTTTCTCGACTGATCTCTGGACGTGATTAAGGTCAGATGCATCCTCGTCTGGACGTACTTCCAGTCAGATGCATTTCGAAAGTCATAGTGCGAGTATTGCCCAAGCGAGTGCTAGATAACACTTGCCCGCAAACGCCCACGCTTCATGCGACGACGGAACAAAGTTAGGTACTTCCATGGAGGAGGGAGGAGCACAATAATGTTCTCCGAAGCAAATTATGACAACATAACGCTACGATACACGAAAGCGTGTAATTTAGCGTTAAATGGTCACTTGCTTCGGTTGTGACACGATCATCACAAGCCAATTACTTGCTTAACTGTTCTTTGCACTTATCAGCAGCCACTACTTCAATATATTGCGCCCTGCCTTTTATCCGGGAAACAATTTCATCATGGAACGTAAACGACCGCTGATCGTGGGTAGATGCAGCCACAGCAAACAGGTTTTGTTGTGCTCGGGGGAAGACGGCAGCATTTATTTCCTCGCGTTTCGTACCTACCTTTTACTTGTATCATTTCGTTTACATTTCCTTGGGCCTAAACCGCTCGACTCGCGATACAAAGGGCCTGGCTCGACTACTCTCCACATGCACAAAAGACAAAAACTATGACGGTGCATCTTTCCATGTTATAGCGGAAGATTCATTCTCATCTCGCACGTTTGGAGAGTAGTGGAGCGAGAGGCCCAAACCCGACCCCACCATAACATGACCACAAGAGGCTGACTTGCACCTGTTCCCTGTCAGCTGATTCCGAATGATAAGTAGGTTCTTATGAGTCTGCCTAAAACGGTGCGCACTAACAGAACGGTGTCATCAAGCGCCGCGCCTATACTAGGCCATTCCAGGACGTATCTGACCGCAATCACGGACAGGTTGCCCGAAAAGTGCTCGTTTCAGTATGCCAGAAGACTACCGTCTTCATCCGAATAGAACGCCCAGTCATTACGGCTGTACTTCGGGCAACTTTCAGTCCAGATGCAGCGATCATCATGACCAGGCGTTCTATTCGGATGAAGACGGTAGCCCCTCGCAAAGGGCATACACATCCACATTACGACAATTTCGACTGAATTTGGTCGTAAACGCGGTCCGTATACATCCCAGAAACGATCCAAGACATGTTAACGGGGACCATTTGCATCGCCATTCTTGCTTGAATCGGGCTGATAAACGAGTCCAGACCGGTGTCTAAAGGGTGAATACTCATACAAACAGATACAGGGGACGACAATAACATCATCGTACAGAAGGGCATACTAACACTAGCACATTGCAGAATGCATCTGAACGCAATTACGGCCAAAACTGGATGACTCTGACCGCAATCACGTCCAGAGCTTTGTCGAAAAACTTAGTATATTGCGAGTACTCTCTAAGATCACATTTTCCGTACATTCGCTTGCCATCATTCTGTATGTAACGTCTCCTTTGTTTCTTCTTCGCACACGATGCCAGAAGGACATCCACAAAATTTACCGAAAGCTGCCTAAGGCATGGCATTCACAAAATCGATCCATAGTAGCAAGCAGCTGCCAGAGGCGGACGTATACGTACGATACAGTAATTAAGCCACGGCCGAATTTTCGTGGTCGAAGTCATATTCTATCTTTCAAATTCTTTCGTCAATCAAAATCAAACAAGCAAGAGGATCTTTAATCTTGTCAAGAGCAAGGAAGAGACTCGACAATCGACGCGCAAGGAAGAGACTTGAGAGTGAGTCGACGCGTTACACTGCACTGCATTGATTGTTCCTTGCCATTGCCTGAGAAGGTACTACTACAGCCTTCACACCAATCGAGAGATCTGGTCGTTATCGCCATATCTAGACTGAAAATTGGCCCCGAATACAAGTGACCGGGTGTTCTATTCGGGTGAAGACGGTACTAACCCGCGCAAAGAACCATTCACAGATCAGTGCAAGCTGATACGGGACGGGACAGACGATCTACCAAGCTCACTGTAAAGGGGTCAGTCCCCCCATTTACAGCCTGCTGATGGGGGGTTAGACCAGCGGTTTATGGGAGAGTGGATGTGGACATCAACCTTCGGATGGAGGCACATTTAGGTAGAGAGGAGACAACTGAATCGCCTAGGGGCGTTCTATTCCAGATCGCCGGAACTGGGAAAATACGCAAAGGTAGGGAGGGTAAAAGCAATCGTCGTAAGATTATCACGCATCTGCCCCCGCCCTCTCCCCCCACCCACCCAAAAAAAAAAAAAACATAATGCATGCATCTATCGAAAAAGGAAGAAGATGGGGGTGAGATGATGACGATGGCTGAAATAACTACCGTAGTGCAGATACGATGACAACACTCTTTGAGAACGAAGAACAAACACACAAAGCAACGAAGGACAAAAGACTGATCATTGACCATCATCTGCACATCGTCTCTATCATCATTACCACGTTCGTTAGCATCAACTCTATCATCTCCATTATCGTCGCCATCGCGAGTCTCTGAACCTCTGCTCGGGAAGCATATGCAGCTGCCATGCGCCGATGACTTCGTCTCTCTCTCTCTCTCTCTCTCTCTCTCTCTCTCTCTTACACACACACACACACACAATTTGTGGCCGGCAATTGGGTGTGTGCGACAACTACCGCCTGCAACCCATGCCTTCGTCGGTCGATGACGACCAAGGCTCGGTATAGAACATCCCCACGCCTATATGTCCTTATACCTCTCGAAAGACCAGTTAGCTTCTCTTACAGCATATCCGAGCATGAGCATCATCATCATCAGCAGCAGCAGCAGCAGGCCCACACAGCAGCCAAAACATGCGAAAAAGAACTTTCCCTCCCCCTTTCCTTGCTGTGTCCGATCCACAATCGACTTCAACCCGCCGCACCCAACACGTGCCACCTTCATAACATGCCCGTTGATGCGAAGATGATGGATGAGTGGATAGATGGGAGGGTCAGAAGGGAGGGGAGTACTTGCAACCTCTTGACCGTTCATGCCAAAACCACAGAGAAAGATACTCCCCCCCCCCCACCGGCGGGCAGATGGCAGGCAAGAGAGAAAAGTTGTCTTTCCCCTCAGCTCTCGGCGCCCTAGCCCCCTTCCGGCAACAAACAGGGCCCAACCGGCCCCCTCCTCAACCCCCCCCCCCTTCCTTTATGTCCGTAAAACGCGGGAAAAAGGCTTCATTTACCGACCGCGGGGGAAGAGGGGGGAGTCGAGTGACTGGGTGCCGCGCTATGAGCAGTAGGTAGGTGATTGGTTCCCCTTTTGCCCCCCCTCCACGAACGTGTCATTCTACCGTAGGAACAGTAAATCACGTCACAGGGATGGAGGCGAACAAGGGTCTTTTTTTTTTCCTCTTTTTTTTCTCTTGTTTGTTTTCGAAGGACAACGAGGGTTTTACTCTCACATGATGTCGAAATTGAGGTGGTTTGCCACCTTGAGCTGAATGGGATTTCTTCTTAAAAGGCCAGCGCCACCCGCGGTACCCTCGTTCGCCTGTTTTCCCCGCCAACCATGACAAAGTAGGTATGCGCATCCCGAAAGCGGACGGCTATTCCGCCGAAAAAGACCTGTTCCCGCCTCAGGAATAGAACGAGCGAGAGATTGCAATCTGACAGAGCTCTCTCTCTCTCTCTCTCTCTCTCTGTGTGTCTGTCTGTGTCTGTGTCTGTGTCTGTGACTGCAGATCAAAACATCATTGGCGTTGTCGTCATTGGCCTCGCTATGCCTGATCACTGTGTATGGAGTGCAACACAGTCGAAGGTCCGGATCCCTGGATCGAAATCACGACCACGCGTGCAGTCGTTTGCGCGCACCTCAACTTATATCCCTGCCCACCTTTTTCAAATACGCATCTCTCGTCCTTTTGACCGCTTGCGCAAACGATTCGAGTATTCGTCAATACGAATCGCAGAGAGCAAGGGGAAAAAAAAAAAAAAAAAAGAAATTGAATGTCGAGCAAAGCCACAAACAGAAAGATTCCGCTCCTGCAGCGATGTCAGTTAATTCCTCTAGGTTGAGGTACCACTGGCAAAGAGGATAGGATTCAGTGCCTGAATCTAGATGCGTTTAATGCAGAGATGCAGAAAAGCAGGAGGTCTTTCTCGACATCCTGCCTCTCTCTACAAAAGCGTCCAAATTCATGCGTGTGGATTTACCGACGCCGAGTGTGCGGACGTACATACACTACCGTCTTTCCTCCCAAACACACGCACCCTCATCATATACCATACCGAACATGGGGCCTCGCTCCACTGCACGATTGACAAAGTACGTATAATCTCGTCCCTACGGATTCACATCTGTCACTCAGTCCGTGTGCATCTGGTCGATTCAGCGGCCCAGATACGTGTCGAATGTTGTGAGTGGTGGTTCGACGCCCATCGTATAGATACCTCGCATACATTCATGAT